CTCCCCCCCCGCCGCCTCTTGCAGCGTCTGCTGCCTTCCCCTCCCTTGGGGATCGCTGGGATCGGGGCAGCTTGGCCGGAGCCCTGGGGTCTGCGCTGTGCGCAGACCCCAGGGCTCCGGCCAAGCTGCCCCGACTTCATCCTGCTGCTTGGATTTGCAGACTCGGCATTTTTCGAAGCTCTGCTCTCAAAGCTTCTGTTGATCAAGCTAAAAATTCGCGGCACGTACCGGCGCACACGTTAGCCGAGCAGCAGCTGGGAAGGGGGGAAAGCCGGTGGCTGTTGGTTTGGATTCCTCCTCCTTGTGTTTCCCTGGGGGCGAGTGGGGTTTTGCCGCTCGACGCACAGCACGCGTTCGCCGTAGCTCCCTGCCATGCCGGCACTCGGGGTGAGCGAGGCACCATGGCGGCCTGGGAACCCCTTCCCAGCGCGGCCGGCTGAGCCGCTTTTATCCCTGCCAGAGCCGTGGGGTGCTCGGTGCCGTGGGGAAGGGCTCCCGGTGCCCTGCGGGAAGGAACGGAAGCAGCCGGTGGGAACGACCACGGGATCGGCCTTTTCACGCGGCCGTGAATGGCTCTTTGGCAGCTGAGCGGCTCCAGGCATCAACACCGACCGAAGGCACATGACGGTCAGATGGGTCCCGCGTCCCCCAGCCTGCCCGCGCTCCCTCCGGCGCTGGGCTTTGCCAGGGCACGGGCGCGGCGTTGCTTTTAATCGTGCCTTTGACGATCCCTATCGAACCCATCGCCCGCCTCATGGCAAAACACCTTCTCCGGGGCTGGGCCAGGTGAGGCCAGCGGTGCCACGGGGCCGGTGGGCGGCCGGAGCTCCTGGCCCCACACACGGCCGCTGGGAGGGACAGCTTGGCGCCTGCGGTGGGGAAGGTCCCGCTGGGGTCCCCATGGTGCGTGGGCACCCCAGGGCACAGAGGACCCCTGTGGCACACAGCCCCCCCAGGGTCCACAGCCCCGGGCGTGTGGGGACCCCCCAAGGCACACGGGGACCCGCAGACACATGGTGACCCCAAGCAGTCGGGCTCCCCAGGACCATACCAGGGGTCCGGCAGCCCTGGCCTCCGCGGTGGCTGCCAGGGTGCCGCCGTCATGCGGGTGCCCACCCTTCTCGGGAGGAGGAGCTGCAGGAGCCGGCTTTAAAGTTGGGCAGAGAAAGGGTCCTTTCTTCCCCAGCACCCTGGGCTGGCGGGCGCACGGCTGCGGGGAGGCCGGGCAGGGCTGGCGAGGAGGGCGGCCGCGACACCGGAGGTCACGGTGGGTGTGTGGCGTTCCCCGGTGAGACCCCAGGCGGCGGGATCCCCCTGTCCCCCATTCCTCCCTGTCCCCTTGGCCTCGCCGCCGGGCGCTGCGGGAGCGCTGGCAGGGCAGGCCGGGGGCTCAGGCTGCTGCGGGGGGACCCTGGGGCTGAGGCGGGGCCATGTCGACGCTGGCCCCCCTGCGCCTGCTGCGCGAGCCCTGGAACGCCAGCAAGGGCAACCAGAGCAACGCCACGGCCGGGGCCGGCAGCGCCTGGTGCCAGGGGCTCAACATCCCCAACGAGCTCTTCCTCGCGCTGGGGCTGGTGAGCCTGGTGGAGAACCTGCTGGTGGTGGCCGCCGTCCTGAGGAACAGGAACCTGCACTTGCCCATGTACTACTTCATCTGCTGCCTGGCCGTCTCCGACATGCTGGTGAGCATCAGCAACCTGGCGGAGACGGTCTTCGTGCTGCTGATGGAGCGTGGCGTGCTGGTGATCCGCGCCAGCGTCGTCCACCACATGGACAACGTCATCGACATGCTCATCTGCAGCTCCGTCCTGTCCTCCCTCTCCTTCCTGGGGGTCATCGCCGTGGACCGCTACATCACCATCTTCTACGCCCTGCGCTACCACAGCATCATGACGCTGCAACGGGCCATGGTGACCATGGCCACCGTCTGGCTGGCCAGCACCGTCTCCAGCACCGTCTTCATCACCTACTGCCGCAACAACGCCATCCTCCTCTGCCTCATCAGCTTCTTCCTCTTCGTGCTGGTCCTCATGCTGGTGCTCTACATCCACATGTTCGCCCTGGCCCGCCACCACCTCCGCAGCATCTCCAGCCAGCAGAAGCAGCCCACCCTCCACTGCAGCAGCAGCCTGAAGGGAGCCGTCACCCTCACCATCCTCCTGGGCGTCTTCTTCGTCTGCTGGGGGCCCTTCTTCTTCCACCTCATCCTCATCGTCACCTGCCCCACCAACCCCTTCTGCACCTGCTTCTTCAGCTACTTCAACCTCTTCCTCGTCCTCATCATCTGCAACTCGGTGGTTGACCCCTTCATCTACGCCTTCCAGAGCCAGGAGCTCCGGCGGACGCTGCGGGAGGTGGTGCTGTGCTCCTGGCAGGCGGCGGGACGCGGGTAACGGCACGGCCGCCCCACCAACAGACGGACGGACGGACGGGCTGACGGGCCAGGACACGCATCCCCGGCGCCCCAACCCGCGCCGGCGGCCTCGCGGTCCCCAATAAAGGCTCTTTGCAGTGACGCTGTGGCTGGCACCCCCGGGGCGGGGGGGTGTCGGCCCTTCCCGCCCCCCCCGTTTATTCGAAGCTCCGTTTGCTCCCGGTTTGCCGCTGTCGGGAGGGCACCGGGGGGCACCGGCGGGGCGTGGGGG